TAATTAATCTCTATGGAATTTCTACTGCCAATCGGTTTTACAGATAGCAACGATTATGAACAGCGACCATTCAAGTAATTACAGCCGAAAACTCTATAAAAATTGATAAATCATGAAAATTATGCTCTACCTGGAGGAAGATGATTCCTGTCCGACGATCTTTGGGGCAACAGGTCGAGTGGCAGTATTCTTTTGTTCCCCAAAATTCACGCCATTAACTTTCGTATTCGCCTTCAAAGTACTGAGTCGAACGGCTGATACTGATGGTGTTTGACAAGAATATTCCGAAGGAGCCTCCCCCATAACGGATAATGGGCTAACGAATGAAGGTGGTGGGTTCAATATCCGAGATATAACAGATTTGGCCGGCAAGCCCAGCGGGTTGAAAACCGGATGTACATTTCCAGGGCTTATAGAAGAGGTAAATGATTCCAAAGGACCAGTTTTTTCCTGTGAGAAAGCTACCGTTTCTTCAGTGTCCGAACCAAGACTACCGTTTTGAGACTTTTCAGCTTTATCCGCGGGAAGGGAACCAGGTTCATCATCATCTTCGCTATCCGTGAGACGTAGATCTTCCAAAAGTCTGAGGTGAATAAGTGAAGTTCGGTAGAAGAACATCATAGCGATTCCGAATGAATATAAAAACTCAGTTAGGTTTCCAACAAATACCTCAAGTGTATACAGATGTACTCACTTGTATGTACGTGTAAACTTTAACACGTATATAATTTCATTTAAAACAGTTCGGACGATTTATTTATTTACAAGGATAGAACTCGGCATGCAACGTTGTCACCCACCATTAAAATCATTGATGGCCTGTACAACTTCTCACCCTCGTTAGGAGACATCCACAGTTCAGTTGTTACTTAACAGCGTGCTCTGTGTCAAAACCTCAATATGTCTGTATTTGCTTACATTTTTGTCATTTATTTTATTATATGCATTACTGTCATAAACAGAAAAGAGACAAAACTCGGTCACAGCGACCTACTATTCAGCCGAGAGCCCAAACCGTTGGAATTGAAATAAAAAATCGAACAGGATAACGATAACATACAGTCCAGCGACAGCAGAGCTGTCCACCTCTATCACAGAAGAATTTCATTTTAGCCTGTAAGTTGTGAGGTTCCTCGTTCTAAACACTAAATTAGTTAGCCAATTTCTATCACAACGCGTACGAAATATTGCATCCGTTTGATCACATTCACTCGTGTACTTATCTACCCCAATCACAAATAGTTAAGAACCAAACAAAACAGTAACAAAATTTAATATTTATTGTCTTATGGAACATTCTTCTGAAACACGCCTGTTCACCACTTTCATCACAATTTACATGAATCCTCAAACATTATTTCTGTGATCTCTTACTCATTTGGAAAAGATTGTCTGCAACAGTCAATTTCAGCTGCCTAATGCATGTCCGCGCCTGAAACAACGACGAAACTGCACCTTGACGTGGTGTGATAGCCTGTG